GCACTGCTTTACCGCGTTATATCCAAATTCGTGTTATATCGGGTTGCGTTATATTTGGGTAGAGGTGTATATAAAAAAGTGGTTTTTAATTCATAAGGGGGGGGGGGGGGGGGGGGGGCCCCCGAGGGGGGGGGGGGGGGGGCTCTGCATTTTAATTTAATTTTAAATGAAGCTTCTTAAACATTTTAAAAACCTTATTTACTTTACATACAACAATAGTTTAGTTATATATTATAGACTTACAGAAAGAGACCTTCTAAAAACATTAAAATGTATTACTGGCACGTGAAACCTTAAATTAGAGTGAATAAATGAAGACTCGGCACACCACTTCTGAAAGGCTGCCGACCCCTGAGTTAATGTGTGCATTAAGAAGTTCCTTTCCAAACATTGTATGTAGGGCATAACTAGAGAAACCAGAGTGCACCCAGCCTGTTGGACTCTGGATGGAATGGATCTAAGCCACTGGGAAGGGAGATGGAGATCAGGAGGGCCAGGGCTGCGGTTTCAGGGTCTGGGTGGCTGCATTTTGGGGTCTCTATAGCCAAGAGTGTCAGACATGGGTCTGCATCTGAGGAGTTCTCTTGGATGTCCCAGAGCTAGGAGTAGTGATTAGGCATTACCTAAACCCTTGGAGCTTAGCATCCCATAGGATTTGGCAGTTGGATCCCTTACAACAGACTAGTGTCCGTTTAGAGAGAGAGAGAGGAGGTCTTGCAGGGCTAGACTGGATTGAGACAGATCTTCTCTCTCCCTGTGGCCTCCCCTCATCCCGGCTTCAAACAGGAGTGCCTCATAATAGGAAAGCAGCAGTCCAGTTATGCAAGTATTGCTGTCAGGTAGCCACAGGAATCAATTTAGGGCCTTAGTGGCCCCTGATAAAAACCTGGAGGACTATAATGGTAGAATCTAGTTTGGCTCAATCTATCTTCTGTAACTGGGGAACCAATCATGGATTGCAGACAGTCCTATACCTCAACACACTAGCAGCATAATCTGGCATAGTAAAGTCTTTGGGCTCTAAATAGGTACATGGTCAGGTCTGTGAGACTCAAACAGCACAAGGGTTTTGAATGCTGTGTTCTAGGCTGATACAATGCATCACTGCAAGTTTCATGTGAACCTTGTAAAATAAATGGGGAACAAAGGACTGGTCTCATGAAAAAATGTTCCAAGCTCTAGCTTGGGCAGAGATGCTTTTTAGGAGGGAATTGGAATGTCCTGTCACAGTGGAAATGACCCATAAATAAATGATTACTTTGAAATGAACTAGTCCTGAGATGCGCACCCATAGGAATCACCTGATTCCCTGTTCTGTACTGATGGTGTGCATCTAGAAAAAATAGGTGCCTATATGATCAATCTGGATCTCTGGTCCCAGGTGGGAGCAATTCCACAGCTGTGGGTGGGTATGGTGATAAATTAGATGCTCACTGCTTTTTATTGTAGGTATCCCTTTCTAAAAGTAAAAGTGGGAAAGGGGATAAGGTCTGGCTCTTGGGCAGAGTTGGGAGAGGCAGGGAGAACTGACCCTGGAAGGGGAGGCACTTCAAGTAGTTGACAGTTTATGGTGGAGTGGGGCCCAGTGGTTAGATGGTGATTCTCGTATTCTTTTCCCCTTCCCTTCTGGAGACACAGGAGACTAGGCAAGGCTAGTTTTTTCACAAACACTATTGGCTACTTCCATATGTATGCATGTGTCTTATAATTTAGAGTTGCAATCTGTTGACTCTTCGATATGCGTTGTTTTGTCATCCTTATGTTTCTAGTAGCTATCTTCAGAGACCTGAAACACCTTCATAACTGAATAGCTAAAAAATTTAAGAAAAACATGCAACTAAAATGTGTGTGATAACCCCGAAGAAAAAATTTAAAAGTCAAATTAATTAAAATATTTTTTGTTTGGTAAACAAAATATTGAAACTGTCTCACAGATTAAAGGCGTTCTTGCTTTCCTGGCTAAACAATCTCTTCTGAATATGTAGGGAAGTGTATCTTTTACTGACACATCTGCTGAATATTTGAGTTTTTCTTGCGGGGGGAACTATAGTTTGTCTTCCCAAATGTCTATCCACTAGGGTTGTATTTTCTGAACTGAAAAAGTGTAGCAAAATGGCAACTTTCACTGAACATGACATTTAATATACAATTCTTTTAAGTTGCCACAAGTGTTTCAGTGTATACCTCAAGAAAGAAACAAACTTCCAGTCAGACTTCAGTTTGTTGGATATTTTTTCTTACTAATAATAGTTTGGCAAATACAGCAAAAGAACCTCTTTGCTTTCTGAATGACTTTCCACCTCAGCCTACTGAAACAACCTGCCTTAAAGACCAGAACATTCTAAACAGCGGGGGGGAGGGGAAGAGGGGAAAAAAATAAAGGGGGCTAGCTAAGACCCTCTTTTGAGAAAAGAGTATTGTTTTCTTTGAGAAAGTAGTCTCCTTTCACCTTAGCATCAAGGT